ATATCCATAAAAAGAATTTCAGGGCATTATAAATTGTTTTCAGCATGCACAATGCCCTTAATTTATGTTACAAAGTATGACATATTAAAGTCTTATTTTGTAAAATCTTTGTTACATCATTTGCAATAAGGCAACAATATTGTCAGATCTGTTGTGATATTTGAAACAGCTATGATAACCTCTTTTGTTTATCCACTAATACCTCTGGTAGAGCTCAGAAACTGACAACATGAAATTGTACTTACCAAATTTAGTATTTCATGCTCAAAGTGTTTGAACTCACTGTAATAATCTGAAATTCAATGCGAAACACTGGCAGTAAACAGAGTTCATACTTTACTGGTTTTCTTTATTCTATCATGAATACTATTTAGAGTCAACTACTACAGTACTTACCAACTTTTATCCATTGCCTTTGTGGAAGAGTACCATGAGCACRTTGTTTAAACAACTTATCAGGATGAGACTTGTGCTTGTTGCTTATATGTCTCATCAGGGATTTCCACTTTGCCAGAATAAGTYCTTGGAARCCAGATTTTGTTGACRYTGCGCACCAGYGTAGATGATTTCYAATTGACTTCTGCCATTGACATATGATTTYGCAGCCACTCTCCTTTCCAGCCTTCAGAATKTTCTTACCTATAGACTTTGCCACATGCCAAATGTCAAAGAAGTGTTTGGTCTTGGGTCGGTTCTCTTTTATCCACTTGGCAATCCCTCTGTGTCTGTCTGAGATAAAGGTGGATACTACCAATCCAGCTGCCTCTAAAAATTTGAAGCTGTCTTGAGCCCCCTTAAGCTCCATTTCAGAGCTGCTTTTCACTTAATTTGCCTGTCAAGAGTTAAAGAGTTTGTTGCGAGTTTTTTGTACAAACTTTCATAACTATTTTTTCAGAAATTGCCATAGTGATTATAATTTCAAAAGTAAAAATGCTAGCRTAGAGTGTATTTAATGTATCTGTGAAATAGTTTGTAAGATTAAATTGCATTAATTAAACACACCAATTGGCCAAATGCAGTTTGCAAACTATTTGAAGTACATCAGGATTATAATCATCATTCATAATGTTAGTACAATAATAAATATTAATTATTTSAGATGTAGAGCCCACAGATAACAATTACAACTGATTCAATGAAATAGGAGTAATAYGTCTAACAGTTACATTTACCTGAATTAACTCAAAATGGGCAATTTTTGCTACTGTGCAACAAAACATGGTATAGGCACCATATTTTGCCTAGTGACCCATAGAGTTGTAACGGCCATTTCCACTCCAAACTGCATCTTTTATTTTCCTAATATCCCCCAGAATCKTGTTTTGGCTTATCTCCCAAAATTTTAAAATGGCTGGAAACAGGAATTTTGTCTGATGAAAAAAAAAGCTTCTTGCACTGTATACGCAGAGACCCATGTGTTTACAAAGAAGCAGTACTTTAGATACTGATGCGSCAGCCATGAGAATGCCAAAACTCAACATAACATTTCCTGCTGGGTGTCGACYGAGGACCAATGGCTGTGATCTCCATGTATAGCCTGTGCACACACTGCATTTTTGCTTTACCATTATCATGGTCCCATTTTTCTTCATGCTTACTTTTGGCCTATACGAAACTTGATTTTGCTATAAAATAGTCACTTTGTTTTGGTGTTCATCTTGGTTTATTCACATCACTTCACTACTAAACTCTGTTTGCTCACATCTCTCGACCCTCTCTTGCGTTGTGTAACACTCTCACCACACCCCCTCTCACATTACATACGATCTCACTTCCGCTCAAAATTATTACAAAATCACTTCCGGTCACGCTCCCCTAAAATTTAGAATTATTTCTTAAATTTTACAATATGTTGATTTTAAACTACGAGTGTTCTTTTCTAATAATCATGGTTTCTTGCGTGTAACAGTAACAATATGATGAATACAGTACTAAATTCTCTTGCAGTGTTCATGGTTATATAGTTCAAACCAATCACTTGCGTGATGGCTTAATGTTCAGTTTTCTAGCTCTTCTGCTTCAAGTGCCTTCCTTATGGCACGCTTTGCATTCTGCGCTGCTTGTCTGGTACTTCTATGGTATGTGGTTTGCTGTTGCGTTTCAATTGCTATTGGTTTAGCTTCAGCTTTGATTTCCAAGGGGCAAATGAGAGACAGAGGTCTCTCAAGGTGGTGTCCTCGGTCTAGCAGTTTCACTCCCCTAATTACACCATCCTTTCCTCGTATCAGCTGCGTAACTTTGCCTTTCTTCCACTCCCCTCTATTCTTTTCGTCTCCCACTAGTAGCACTATGTCGCCAGTCTCTGGATGCGCATTTGTACCTTTTTTGATACGATGACATTCAATAAGCCCATGTACATACTCTGTTTTCCATCTTTGCCATGCGTGCTGTTTCTTTTCAGCAAGTCGCTTATGAAGCTTAGTTGTTTCGCCTGTGTCTAACTCGATGTCTTCTACAGGATAGGCATCTTGTCCCCACATGATCATGTTTGGCGTTAAAACTTGCTCTTCAAATCCTTCGCTTTCGACGTATGTCAAAGGTCGGTTGTTTAGGTGTCTTTCGACATCCATTACAATGGCTTCAATCTGTTGAAACTCTAGGCTCGCCCTTCCCAAAGTCTTGAACAGCGTTTTCTTCACTTCTTTAATTAAACGCTSATACATTCCTCCCCACCATGGCGACTTAGCAAGATTGAACTGCCAATGGATCTGTTGTCTTGCGAGGAAATCCTGCAATGCTTCACTCTTCCTTATCTGACGTATCCACTCTGCTGTAGCCTTGAAAGTTTGGGCGTTGTCCGATATTATTTGCTCTGGTCTGGTTCTTCACGTGATGAAAGCTGATAACTTCTGTTGTAATTCATCTGCAGTTTGAGTCTTCGTCAACTCAAGGTGCACAGCTCTGGACGTCGCACATGTGAATATTAGAATGTATCACTTTGCCTTCTCGCTTTTGGATACCTTGTATTCCAGTGGCCCGGCGAAGTCCACACCCGTTGTTTGGAATGGTCTGCTGCTTTCAGTGAGAAAAGTTGGCATGTCTGCTGTCGCTGTCTCTCCATATGGCTTTGTGTTGAAGGTTTTGCACTCATTGATCGTCTTCTTCACTTTGGATCGTAATTTCGGGATCCACCATTTCTCTCTGATGGCTGCCATAGTGTTCGGGATTCCCAGGTGGCTGATGTTCACGTGCACGTGGTGTATGAGTTTATCTGCAAAGRTTCCTCTGTCAATGAAGATTGGCTGGTAGCCGGCGATTCTCCCCTTACATCTCAAGATGTCCTTGTCATCTTCCACCATGGTCCAGCCTGGAGTCTCTACTGACATCCGCTTGCACTTTCCTCACCCAGTGTACTTCCTCTCTGTTGATCTCTTCTGTTGTGAGTGGCATAATGTCCTTCCCTTGCATTGTTTTCGCATGGCAGTTGTTGAGGAATCTTAGGGCCCATGCTGTAATCCTCACGGTCTTCCAGTAAGTGTATTTCTCAAGTGTATTTTCCAACTCATCTGGTTCACGCTTGACAGCAAGAAGGACAGCTTGTTTGGTTGGGCTGCTCTCCTCACAGACGCTAGTTGAACTCTTAAGCTTCGGCTGACTTGGCCATTCGTCTTTATCGAGCAACCAGTCAGGTACTTCGAACCACTGTCCAGTCTCCATCTTGTTAAGTGATGCACCTCGACTTCCTAGATCAGCTAGATTCATGTTCGATGGACAGTACTTCCAGTTGATGTTGAGGTCGTTGGTGATTTTTGTCGCCCTGACGCGATTGGAAACAAAGACTTTCCATGGTTTTCCAGGGTTGCAAATCCAGTAAAGACCCATCATGCTATCCATCCAGATGGTGATTGACTTTATGGGCCAGCATTGTAAGGCGGTGTTGATGTTCTTTGCCATGTTTGCTGCCATATGTCCGCTGATCAGCTCTAGTCTCGGTATGGTCGTGTTTTGCTTTAATATCGTTGACATCGATGTTAACATTCCTTTAAACACTCCTGTTGAATGTTCAATAACCGCTATGGCTACTGTAGAACACACTGTCTTACTCGCATCTCCAAATAAATGTAAGTGGACACCAGTGATGTTATTCACTCCCTGTGGTATACTCCTGGGCACTTTCACGTTGCATAGGTTACTGGTCCACTTACTCCATCTCACTGCAATGTCATCTGACACTGTGGCGTTCCAGCTCTTGTTTTCGTCCCATGCATCAGGGTAGATTTCTTTGCCTCGAACTAACGTCTGTGATATCAAGCCAAGTGGATCGTACAAACTGGATAGGCTACTAAGGATACCTCTTTTCGTCACTTGATCTTCGCTTCTAGCAATCTCTTCTCCCTTGACTTCGAGTGTGTCTGATCGCTTGTCCCATAGGTAACCTATTATCTTGGATGGGTTTGACTCGGTATCAAGCTCTAGTACGTCGGACTCCCACTTATGTACAGGAAATTTTGCTTTTTCAATAATAGCTTACTTTCGCAATTTTTGGAAGCGCGCGACTGGTAACGATTTTTAGCATCAAAACGAGGTTCGGTTTCCAGATGGCCGCTCGCGTCGCGCCAGAATGTGAAATGGCGGGAAGATTTTCAAAACATAAACAAAGAAGTATCAATGGTTGGCGTATATATCCTGCTCTGTTAATAATTGCAAAAATTCTTCTAAACGATGCTCTGACTTATCCTATCACTCATTTCCAACTGAGAAAACATAAACAAAGCAAAAATGGCGAATATTTTTCACAGCAAGACGGTGCCTTGGCTTAAAAATTATTTAAACGAAAGAGGGATCAACTCATCAGGCAAAAGGAAATCGGAACTAATCGACTTATGTTCCAAAAGCAGCGATATGAAGATCAGAAAACTGGAAGAACCAGAAACGGTGGAAACGATAGTATCTTCAAAACTTATCACCGGCGACGGAAACTTGCCGAATCCATTCACAGAAGTTCTTACTTGGAGCCACTCTTTTACAAATATACCTGAATTTTCTTTTCCGGATCTATATGAGTATTTGGTTGACAGGGGTGGCTATTCGAAAGAAAGCTTAAAATCCTTCAAAAGTCTACTCGGATATAAACTTTACTATGATGGGCACGTTGAAAACCTACAGTGGCATCATGTACCAGACACCGAATATCATTTGTTTAAGTTCAACGTACAGCCAACAGAGAGGACAAAACTAGACTCTGGAGAGAGTAGCTACAAGGGTTTTTTCATTCTCAAAAAGGATGGAGATGTACACTCTGGTTATTGCGTTTGTAAAGGAGGGTAAGTAGAAAAATATTAACAGGACAAGCTTGGTATAGACATTGGTTACCTTGAGTGTAATGTGTCCTAATTTGATATTTTGTTGTTATTAGTCAATTGCAAAAATTCTGAAGTTTATGTGCTAACATATATCAATAATACAACTAGTATAATGCATAAATTTGATTTTATTACAGTGCTGATGGAGGTTGTAGACACATTGCTGCATCCCTGTTTGATTTACTTGCTACTGTCGTCGCCAGAGATATGCAGACATGTACCAGTAAAAACTGTTCTTGGGTACGAAGAGGGAAAAGAAATGAGCGCTCAATCCCGATCAGTGAGCTGCAAATTGGTCGTCCAGAGTATGGAAAGAAAATCAAATCACCTGTTYCGATAACAAAATGTCAACCAGGATCTGTAAGATATGATGTACAAAGTTTGCAGCTACAATTCAAGAGGGAACTAATCGATGCTTGTAGTAATGCTGTAGTATTGCCCTACCTGCCAGAATTAAAAGAAAGTCTTGTTTCAGAAGAAGATTTAACAAGCTATATTTCTAAGGAAGAAAATATTGTGAATGAGGAAACTGTTGAAGGCATATTTGTATATTCCTTAAATGAATATGCAGACACTTTTGTGTCAGAAAATAATATTGATCGGGGTACAGCTGAGGTAGATGAAAATATGGCTTCTGACTTTCTTGATTTTGTAGAACTTGATGATGACCAAATTGAAACAATATTTGATCAAACCAAATCACAGTCACAATCACCTTTTTGGTTTGAGCAACGAGCTGGACGGATAACTGCTTCCAATTTTTACACTGTTTGTCACATGAGGCCAAAGACTGACCGTACTAACATCATAAAATCTTTGATGAATTATAACCCAATGGATGATGCTTCAATGCCTGAACAGCTTATTTGGGGACATGAAAAAGAGAAAGTTGCTCTACAGTCTTATACAAAGAAAATGTCTAAACACAAATCTGTTATAGTTTCATCATCTGGTTTGATCATTCATAAATCCTATCCATATTTGGGAGCTAGTCCAGATGGTATTAGAAGCTGCAAGTGCTGTCGAAGTAAAACACTTGTGGAAGTCAAGAGCCTCTACARTAAAAGAAGTTTGCTGCCTTTTCCTGCTGCACAAGAGCATTTGAATGTTGACACTAATGGAGAAATTACACTTAAATCTGAAACAAAGTGGAACTACCAGATACAAGGTCAGATGGCAATATCCAATATTTATAGTTGTGATTTGATAGTTTACACAAATAAAGGCATACTAATTGTACCTGTAACATTTGATAATGAACTTTGGAAAMAAGCATTCAGCAAGCTGAAGTCATTCTACACTGCCTACATGGTGAAGGAATTAATAACAAAGGATGTCTATAACTGCAAGGTTTTAAATCACCAGCCAACCTAATTAAGCCCACCCCATGTGGTGTTTTATGATTGATTAAGTAAAGTATTATATCAATATTGAATTTCAAATATTAAGGCAATATTGCCTTTGACTGTAGATTTTAAGTTTTTCTATTTTATAAATAATGATGTAATAATAAATAATAAATAATGATGAATAATATGTAAATATGATTATATTATGATAAGCTTCTTATGATAAGTTTGAATAGAAATGTAATTGTATCATGATATCAACTTCAGCTCAAGTAGTTTAACTAATTTACTATTGCATTCTGCATGACTTATTCTTAATCCTAGCACATCACTTTCTATTAGAAGTAACTTTTGTGCAGTAATACTTTCAGATCAGTTTGTAAATTTCTATCTTGTAAGAGGTGGTAACAAATTGCAAATAGATGCACAAATGRTAAGAATTGAATCACCAATATCAATCAAAGTTAGAGGAATATTTCCCTGTAGAATTCTAAAGTTCTTGAGTCTCTCAATGGCTCTTTCAACATGAATCCTCAAGCTGGCAATCTTGMGAGTGGATTTTACTGCTTTTGTTGATAATTGCTTGCCTTTAAAAAAAATAAACTTTTACAAACATATTGCTTTACTCACAGTTACGAGTACAGTGATTGCAGTCAAAGCACACAATAATATCATACCAACATTATGTGTATGGAATTAATGAAATTAAACAAGTAATTGCACAAATTGTACAAGTCTTAATGCATTGTATGGTTTCTGTATTAAGTTAATACAATAAAATTAAGTAATAATGCTTATATTATATCAAAATATATTTACCTTTGCAGAGTGGTGGCATGTTAAGTTCAACTTTAAGTTTTGTTAGGAGGTCTTTAATGTTGAAACCCTTGTCAGCCATGACAGAATCCCCAGGCTCCAATAAGTCTAGAATGCCACTGCTTTCTGTTATTTGTCTGTCACTTGTATTCCCAGTCCACAACTCAGAAACAAAACTAAACATACCATTGGGAGTGATGCCTACCAAGGTCTTCATTGTATTGTGGTGCTTGTACGAGCTCCATGTCGCTCTTTGAGCACTTGGTGTTGTTGGTTTTTCAATGAATAGTTCTGTACAGTCAATGATAACTCTTGTAGATGGAAAATTACTAAATGTTCGAGGGAGATTCTTTCTGATGTCTGATCTGTTTGGCCATAACAAAAGGGTGTCCTTGAAGATTTTAGCAAGAAATCTGGACCRTRTCCTGAAAATTTTACTTACAGAGCTTGTAGATAGTCCATATATGTGAGAAAGCTGCATATTTAACAGACCCAATCTGATTTTCASGAGTGTCATGAGGAATTCTTGAAATAATGTTAATGTCCTCTTTCTGCCTGGTTTACTTTTCGAAGGGTTCATTTGGTAGCCGACCTTTCGATTCTTGCTATGGTCCCAGTATTTCATATTATTGCACAATGGTTTAATCAGGTTGAATATGGCCATCAAACATGCTAAAGAGGGAAATCCTGTGTAAAACTTAACAGATTCATCATTTTTAAGTACGTCTTCGGTGAACAGTTCCCGTTTTAGTTCTGACTTGTTTTTCAACCTGTTCCTGAGGGACTCGTTCTCATTTTTTAGTTCGTCTAGTTCTTTCTTTACTTGAGAAAGCTCTTCAATTTCGAAATTGACTTGAGTTGACTTTTCTCGTTGTGAACTTTTAGAAAAATAGTTATGCTCATTTTGAATGTCTAAGTGTGCACTAGTTTTACTGAATATCGGCGGACTATCAAGGACACGATCCTCCAGTTTCGGCACAGTATTCCTTTCGTCGTCTTCCAGCTTTCTTTTCCTYCTTTCTCTTCTTTCTTCTCTAGACGTGTTTGAGATTCGCTTAGGTTTGAATATTGTAGGAATACTTGACGTTTTTAAAAATACTCTCCCRGTCAGWGAAGTTTTTATGTCACTCGCGTCAAAATGTACGGAGCAAATTCTCGGTCTTTTTAAACTTTTAAAAACASTATCACTTCGTTGGCAAAAACTTTTCCACTTTCTTCGTATTTTTTTGTCAGTTGGAAATGAGTGAAAGGATAAGTCAGAGCATCGTTTAGAAGAATTTTTGCAATGATTAACAGAGCAGGATACGCCAACCATGGTACTGCTTTATTGATACTTCTTTGTTTATGTTTTGAAAATCTTCCCGCCATTTCACATTCTGGCGCGACGCGAGCGGCCATCTGGAAACCGAACCTCGTTTTGATGCTAAAAATCGTTACCAGTCGCGCGCTTCCAAAAATTGCGAAAGTAAGCTA